GGTCCAATTTGTGCAACAAATTAGGTCTGAACATCAAGTCAGCAAAACTGGGCAAGCTGCACAAGGGTGTTCAGGCACCTCAAGATGAGCCACCTTCATTAAGGTTGACACTGAACTCAGCCTAAGGGGCTGCAGGTTTACTGTTACTGACTCAAGCACTAATTGTCGCTAGGAGTTACAGCTTGAGAATAAAATGTGATAGGACATGGGCTAACATACACATGTGAGGGAGTGACCGGAATTGATACCATTTACTTGTGCAGTAAAAGTACGGTGTCTCGGATCCGGAAGCTGGCACTGCTTGTGAAAAATAAATGCATGACTTACAGCAGTGGAGATAGCTGTCCCCCCAGATGGCCCCTGATGCTTCTGGAGCAATCTCGATTTTCCGGCTACCTCGTCCCGATCATCTCCCCAAGGCGGTTAAGTGTAAAATTCAACTACCAGGAACTACTGGCTCTAGTACTTCAACGGTGGTAATAGACCAAGGGTAAATTGGGAGGAAACATCTGATGCTGTGTCTAGTTCTAATGGAAAAAATGAACACAGGAGTAAATTTTACGGGGGACGTAGCGAGGGAATATATGGTCATACACTTTGCACATAAACAGTTAGGTGCACTCACTCCTGAGCTCTTTCTAAGGTTGTACAAAACATACGCCAGACCGCACCTTGATGTACATAATATCATTACACCTCCACTGCTTAGAAGAGACGCAAACCTCTTAGAAATAGTTCAGAGACCGGTGACAAAAGGATTGGTTGGTCTCTGAAATAAACTGTATGAAGAAAAGCTAAAAAATTAGGCTTATTCGCACTTAGCTACCGTTGGCTTAGGGGCGATTTATTACTGCCTACAAGATAACAAATGACCGAAATCACCCAAACAAAGGTGTTCTGCCATTGAGTAGGTATAGACATCCTCTTGGAAATCCCAGAAGGATAGATCACACTTCTTTTTACTGCGGGTTTTCCGTCCCTGAAACTCATTACCAACAGATGTAGCTGTGGCACCGTCTGTGGACAATCATGCAGTGACACAATGACTGTGTGCTAATGGCCTATTCCCTTAAAATCCCATACACCAATAATGGGTAGTCATCTAAACTCATCGTTTGACTTCTTCACATTCTCTTCTGCTTTACTCTCCTGACCACTCCAAATACTTCACTTATACTTTTTATTACTGATATTATATTCATATATTTACATGTGTATATATATTTCAACTTCAAATTTAATTAGCTATCTGTCCATACTCTCTCTTTATTTCTTTTTCGGTCTTTTTGTCTGAATAACCTACACTAATTATATCTGTTATTATTATTATCTCTTTTCTTTTGACGACGACACCGGGGGCTAACTGGTGAAAGGATCAACCACATTCAAAGCAGTCTTAACACACCGCATACTACTAACAACATGTAATTAATCCCAGCATCACTCCTTTTCCAGTCAACCAAAGCTTCGACAGTCGAGTGGCAGGACGAACTAGGCAGAAGTTAACCGAAGACAAGGAGCCTTTACCTAACAATCAAGAAGCGAGAACAACGAGATCAAGTCGGTATTACCAGCGATACCGGATATTGGAACCACGCGACAACATTATAAAATAGCACTTTGAACAATACCTTCTTCATGAGTAAACTGTGAGTTCTCCTATCTACTTAGACCAAAGGAAAGGCTTTGTAACGCATCTCTCATCCTAAAATTTATGGGCCTCAGGAAGATATCTAACTCACATAGAAATGCACGCACTGCATCAGTTTGCAGCTTTCCGGTGAGTTTTGTGATGCATGTAACTCCAGCTGACATGCAGTAACCTAAGAGGATGGTTATGTGCATGAAATTAAGGAACAGGTAGTATCGTAGTGCCGATACCTGGGTCAGTTGATTGACAAGAAAAAGGTTAAATTTTCGGCAATATTAGGCATTGAATCGTGATGTGCAGAATTTTGCGAAATGCCTATTAGGATGACCTTTCTTCTCCCCCACTCTCTGAAGGGTAGGAGGATATGAAAACCAGGGGTGAACTATAGCATAAATTGGTTTATTTTAGCTCGTGAAAACAATATCGGATATTGGATTATAGAATTGACTATGAGTACCGACTGTCGGAAGAATTTTCTGAGCATTCACTCAGTTTTATCAAGAGGGGAATTGAGATCCAAAAGTGCTTGTCGAAAAGATAGTTAAATAGATTCAGAGGCTTACATCTACGATTGATAATCCCAAAACGGTATTGTATATGTCGGATTCGTCCTACAAAGTCAGCGGGCACTTTGAAAATGTAGGTCACTCTGGGGTGTTTTTTGAGTGAATTCATAGATTAGCAAATTTCTGGTCTGTTTCGGCATAGTTTATAGTCTGAAATTTGTGAAGAGTGAATAAAAAGTAGTGGGTTGAGTTTTTGAGACAAAGATCATGGTTATTTCATCGAACGGAAATAGGGTTAGGAAAATATTTGGACATCGTAGGCGTTACAGAATGTCATCTAATCAACAGCAAATGTAGAGCACATACTGCTCTAATATAGTAAATGCTATGGCACAGCTGGCGTCATCTGTTAGTGATAGATAAGATTCGAGACAACTTGGCAGACTTATTGAATCAATTACATGTGTTTTTTCTTTAGCGAGACTTTATTTCGTTCCTGGCATATTTGTTAAACCGATATACAAACAGTTTTGTTTCATCCCTACCAATTAATTGCTTCATGGCTAAAATGCTACCTAAATAAACAACTTTAGGGCAGCGTAAATGTTTGGAGAGAAATGCATCGAAATATCACCCGTCTCTCATAAGTCCCACAATTGCGTATTAGGGCTGTTTTGTTGTTTTATCTGGGGCGCTTCATGTCCATATCTCGCCAAGTTTGTCTGTAAGTGGCTGCGTCAAGTTGTCCCGAACAGCAAACACGTTTACAAATTTAGTTTTTAGCCTCATTGTGTTTCATTTCAAATACTGAAGCACGTCAACAACCACTTGTGACACAAACATTACTCATATGATAGTGGTAAAATTAATATTGTTTCTAGAGGGAAAGCTTTATGGTTATAATCTTAACGATCCAGAGAGTTCAGTTATCCTTTACTGCTTCGCAGTAACTTTTCACGGTTGGCTAAGTGTACTTAGTTCGACCTTGTTGGAGATTACTTTTCGGTTTTTGAAAAAGTTTTTAAGCGAATATCGTCACTGTTTGTGAATCATTTAGTGTTAGTTTGTTACTACTCCTACCCTGGACGTTTTTTTAGTGTGGCAGACAACGGACGACATTATTTGAATGCCGGTGATACTACCCAGTGGAACAGGATAAAATAGTTGGAGTTTCAATGGAATACCTGATCTTTTGGTTTAAAGCTGAGCCGTTAAGTCGATGAATCACGTCTCTGGTAACTGCACTGCAACCTGATATGCAGAGTCTAGCTACTGCGTATATAATCCATTCCTACCAAAAGCCTTTAATGTTCGGAACAGATCCATGATAACGTTGGTTATTATGATTTAGATTAGTGTGACTTTGACTCGATGAAGTACTACTAGTTACTACGAGGTATTGGACATATGCTGTCCTGAGTAGTACGATCTAGATCCATAGTCTCCTGCTAATTATGTCTGGTAATCTTACAGGAAATGAGTAGTATTGTTTTTGCTTGGTTATAGGTTTGTTCACGAGGTGGCATCGGTTAAACAACTACTGAAAAGCCAGGGAGTACTGGATAACCACTTTGTCGTAATTTGAGACTCTCCATCAGTATGCACCCACCGGGGTTCGACCCTGCGGCCCCCTGGTTACCAGGAGAGCTTTCTGGCCATTCAGGCACTGAGACTCGACATAATAGCTGAACTTCTGCCAATTCGCGATATTTAGTGCTTCCACCAGCCAATATCATCACCGAGTGACTGTTGTCATACCTGATTTAGTGGACTGATCATGACTTCACACTCGAACTCTAGTTAATTTCATGTATAGCGGTAGTCACTGATAAACATCAGATAAATTTTCATACGTGATGTCAGCTCATAATCAAATCAGTAGTATTTTATAATAGAGAAGATTTGCAGCTCAGGTGGATGATTTGCAATTAATGGTGTTCTCTGAGCTGGTTGGTTTAGTTGCGGAGCTTTCGTCGTCCTTCTGGACAACATCTTCAGCGCAATATTTAGCACAAAGTGAAATGATTTAAATTTCTTCATGAGTGATATAATTGTGTCTCCCGGTAGCCATCTTTACATATGTATTGACCATTTTCTATTGACTTGGATTTTAAACTTTTTAGTCACCTGATTTACTTTTTATTAGTTGGTATATTTCGTCTACATTAACTTGCTTCTTAATTGCATTTTCGTTTGAGTACCGGGCTTCTAGGAATTCTCTGACTGCACTTTTGGTGTTTCCCCTGTCTAAGATCTCGACATTATCCCAATCAAATTGATGACCATAATTGTCTATATGCATTGATATGAAAGAATATATATCATGTCTTTTCACGGCTGATTTGTGTTCTTGGATTCTGATTCTTTAGTATCAATGCATATAGACAATTATGGTCATCAATTTGATTGGGATAATGTCGAGATCTTAGACAGGGGAAACACCAAAAGTGTAGTCAGAGAATTCCTAGAAGCCCGGTACTCAAACGAAAATGCAATTAAGAAGCAAGTTAATGTAGACGAAATATACCAACTAATAAAAAGTAAATCAGGTGACTAAAAAGTTTAAAATCCAAGTCAATAGAAAATGGTCAATACATATGTAAAGATGGCTACCGGGAGACACAATTATATCACTCATGAAGAAATTTAAATCATTTCACTTCATGCTAAATATTGCGCTGAAGATGTTGTCCAGAAGGACGACGAAAGCTCCGCAACTAAACCAACCAGCTCACAGAACACTATTAATTGCAAAGTACTATTTTATTTTTGAAATTTCAGTGTTCTTTTTTCTTACTGTGATATTTTTATTCACTCCATTTTTGTTATACTTTATTTTGCAGATTATCTCTCTGCATAAGAAAACTTCAAGTATTACCTCTTCTTATCTTGTTTATTGAACACCTTACAAGATTGGCGTACACACACACGCATACACACACTGGATTTTCCGCATATGTCGTTAGATCTTCCAATTGAAAATCTTCTTAAATGGGTACATTGCAAATTATCAATTTTTAAACTATCTCTATTAGTTGAGAACGTTTAACACAGCGGCAAGTGTTCACTCCATACATGATATCTCGGATGGTATTGTATTGGCTAAAGTTCTACATTCAATGTGAGTAGTTTTCATTTATAATTAATTCATGAAATATGCCCATTGAAAATTCTAAAAGACAGATTAATGGGGACAAATAATATCTACATTTTCGATAACTTCTTCCTCCTCGTCGGGTTCTACATTTATATGAAAGTAATCATTAAAGGAATACTGCTATTAATAATAACGTTAATAGTTCTCAAGTATTGCTTTTTGTAGGGACTTGGTTTGATTGGTTGGATGATTTCATCATGATCTGACATTGGTTAGAGGACCATTGTAAGACCAGCCGGGAGTACTGGACAGCTGCTTCATCAGCCTAGTTTGGGACTCTTCATCAGTACGCACCCACCGGGGTTAGAACCCAGGACCTCCTCGTTACAAGGCGAATTCCTAAACCACTAAGCCACTGGGACCCTATCCAATGTCCAGCCAATCCATGAATTATCATTCCTGCCAATTCATGACGTAGTGCAACCACTTCTCAACGTTTTCTTCGATGAGTTACTGCCTCACCTTCAACTTGCTGCACCCTACTGGTCACGGTTTCCCACTAGAAGCCCAGGTAACTGCCTACCTGAATACGGCTAGTCGCTAGTAAGCATCAGATGAATTTTCCAGCATTGCTTTTTGTAGGTTGTGTGAATAACATCAAGTCATTATTAAGGTAAGGAGGTAACAGTTCAAAAGCAACTTTATGTGATAATGTACATCAATATGTAACAATAAGCTCAGTTTATAAATTTAAACGTTTCACAGTAGGTCAGGGTAGTAATTTTGGTTGGACGTGTTTTCTTTTGCACGCAGAACACCACTTGTTTTAAGTGTATCTCAAATAGCCTCTGCTGTTTAGAGTGTTCGGTATTTTCGAGGTATTTTGTACTTTATTCGGTACGCAATAGATGGCTTTGTAGCCAATGTCGACAAGGTGACCTGTTGATGAATTTAACTGCAATGTTATTCACAGGTGATGTACCACGAAGAATAATAACCAACAATTTGAGATAATTGATTGAAAGAATGTTTATTACCGGTAACCTGCAGCTTATATTTTCCCACAATCGCCCATTGACTCCTAAAGTGAAAGACGATGCACCCAGACTAGCTACCTCTTATTGTATCTACCAATCCAATTGCTCTCCTGTGAAGTCAGTTACTTTTTGACTGTTGTTATAGGAACTTAAGTTTTTGTGCTCGGGAATACCTATCACTTTGTGTGGCTAAATAAAAGTGTAGTGAAAATTGTCAGCAGTTCAGTGTTAGATTACGGTCAAACCAAAACATGGCTTCATCAGTCAATGGAATCCACAACAGTTAGTTTAAGCTAGCCACGTAGGAAGGTGTAGACTTCCTAGTTGGGGTCCTGGGGATGATAAGAACCAGGGGCTGCACATAATTAGTGATATGGCTCAAAATTGTTCTCAATGGCTGGTGCAGATGCATTTACTCCTAGTAACTTATAATATCCAATAAAACTATATGGTTCTTCGATATTACTATTCTTTTTGCCTCATGTCTCTGTTTTGCATTTCTTTTTACATTCTTCTCTTGCTTTGTGTGCTAAAGTGAAGTGTGGCGACTGGGACTGCTGCTCATCGGTGCAAAGTTCTACGTTGAAACCAGTCAGTCAGTTAGTCAGTATTAGATCACCTGGTCCATACACAAAATCTTTTTTTATATCGTCTATCGCCCACTAAATAAATTACCAAAACCCCCTGGGTATCGAATACTCCAAACACCAGACGCCATTTTAATCCTCTTAAAAAAGCACAACTGGGGCTTTGCGTGGAAAAGAAACATAGTGCAGCCATTAATGCTACCCTGATATGCTTTGTGGAACCTAAAAAAATTATGAATTTTTTAGTATTAATTTTAAAACGAATTTCATCACCTACAGAGATGCTTTTGAACTGTAATCTAATGATACGATTGATTCAATGGAATTTAAAACATTAACGTTGCTAATAGCAACAATTCATTTAAAAATATTATATATATATAACTGTAGAACCTGATGAAGAAGAAGTTATCGAAAGTGAACATTATTTGTTCACTCTTTTATAATTAATCTCTTAAACTAGTAATGAATGACGATTTTTCAAAGCCTTTATCAATAGAAGTCAAAGACAACAGTAAAAGATTAACGTTTTAATCAATCAGGGTTGCAATTCCTTGTTATTGAATCTTTTCTCACTTAAAGTTTGAAGTGAAATGATGTAGTGTTGTGTTTAGCAAGTTGTTTTATCCTATTATTTTAACATGAACGGAACTTCGGCTAGTTGGTTTTCGAATCTACTCACTCGTCTTTAACCATTAACCCAAGTTTGTTTACTGAACAGGACGAATTATGGTAATGTGTAACTGAGTGAAGTTGTAGTTCATTAGTCCAGATTGTTGACTTCCAAATAATAGGTCACGGGTCCGAACTCCAATCTCCGAACAGTCTGTCCGTCTGTCTGTCTGTTTTCGACATAGAACTTTGCACCAATTTGCGGCAGATCGAGCCGACACACTCTCTCCATGTAGCACACAAAGCAAGAGAAGAAAGTAGGAGAAATGCATAATAGAGACAATAAACAGAGGTGTGAGACAAAGGAGTAGAAATAACGAAGAACATTGGAAATCATAAATCATGAGGAGTGGATGCATCTGCACCAGCCATTGAGAACGACGATTTTGAGCCATATCACTAATTGTCTCCAGCCTTCATTGGTTTTTACCGTCCCGAGCACCCCAACCAGGAAGTCTACACCTTCCTACGTGACTGGCTGCCTTAAGCTAACTGTCGTGGATTTCATTGACTGATGAAACCATGTTTTGGTTTGACCACCACTGGCTAGCTCTTTTCCAGACTGACCCTATGTCAGCTAACATTGCCCATTGTCGAGGAAAGCGATGACTAGGCATACGTAACGCATGTCCTAACCATCTCAATCGATGTAATTTCACAGCCTCGTCGATTGGTTTCCCCTCCTAACCTAACACTCGACGCCTAACCTCAATATTGCTCACCTTATTATACCTCTTCACACGGGAGATAGAACGCAGACACCTATGATCGAGGACAGCTAATCTTTTCATATCATCCACTTTCAATGGCCAGGTCTCACAGTCATAAAGGAGGACAGAGCAGACTGCTGAGCAGTACACCCATCCTTTGGTCGATAGGCGGATATCACGTCTACGCCAGAGACAGCGTAAACTGGCATATGCGAAACTAGCCCTCTGTATTTGTGCTGAAATTTCGTCAGAGATCAACAGATCTCCGGACAGTATAACCAACCGTCTATCAACTGCATGTGATCGCAAGTGGCTGTTGAGAAATATGCTTATTTTGCAATGTGTGTGTGTGTAACTCCGGAGACATCAAATTTAGTGAGACGTCGTAGTACCTGATACTCTTAATTTGTTCTATACTGATAGCAAGTGGATTTATAAATTGATTTTGGCTTTTTATTTTCGAGTTTCTCTTAATCTGATAGTCAGACAGCATTTGACGTATTGATTGATGAATTCAAGTAGATTTGTGTTCAACATGTCCAACTCTGCTAATCCAGTGTCATTTCATGATTTCAATCTATTAAGTAATTCTGTTTGTTTCACACTGACTTTGTGCTAATAAAACAGTGTTATCAATGAGTATTGGTCACCCAGTACATGTTTTACCGAAAGTTTATATTTGATAGATAAAGGGTGTGTGATTAAAGCATATACTAGTGCTTTCGTTAATCGTGATTAGCACAAAAAAATTTGTGAATTAATACCTTGAGTTCAATTTTAGTCCGAGTGAATATTTCCACTAGCATTATTATTATTACTATTGTTTCCTTTAATTCCGAGAGGAACGTAGGGCTTCAGCCGTGCGTCTCCATTGCGTTTGGTTCTCTGCTAGAGTTTTCATCTGGCTCCAAGTCTGCCCACACGTTTTCATCTCCTCTTCACATGACGTCCTCTAAGTCACCCTTGCACTGACGACCAACTCGCCGCTTCCCTTTCGGGTTCTACTCGAGCAATGGGCTGTCTAGTGATGTCACTTGATGCTTTCCTCAGAGTATGGCCAGCCAACCCATCTTCATTTCTTCCTGCCTATTTGTTTCACAATCGGTTCCTGCTGTGTTGGTTCGCTCCCAGAGATCTCTGTTGCTGATCTTTTCTGGCCATCTGATCTTAAGTAGCATTGAGCGAAGACAACTGTTGATGAAGGTCTGTAGTTTGTTTGAGATGCTCTTTATGACGCGCCGTCTCTGATCCGTATAGTAGCACTGACTGACTTGACATTGGAGTTGAAAATCCACATCTTATTTTTGATGCTGAGTGCTGAGTGTTGATCTCCACACAGACTTGAGAGTAGTGAAAGCTTGTCTTGCTTTTCCGATTCTACTAACACTAACATTGATATTGTATATATTAGATGATTGGAGGCAATCGGCAGGAAGCGTCTCCTGACCTATGTTTCGTGCTTGTTGACACTTGTCAACAAGGCGTATCTGAGATTTGAATCCGCGTCAGCCAGTCAGTCTTGCAGTCCTGTTGAGGCTTGTGATTCACCTCCTTTTTAGGACTGTATTAGATACTCTGATTGGACACTAGGTAACTGGTGCCATCATGTGTGTGTCTAGTCCTTCGTTTGCTGCAGACTGAATTCTATCAGCCTCTGACTGCAGTACTGGATGACACAGGTTCGGGTCTCACAAGAGACATGAGTTCCTTCATGGTGGTTGCAGGTACGTACGCCTTGTTGACGAGTGTCAACAAGCACGAAACCTATGTGTCAGGAGACGCTTCCTGCCGAATGCCTCCAATTATCTACTATCAATAATTCATAGTGTACCGTGTTAGCGAGACACCTAGAATGGTGGTCACATTGCAGACTTGACTGATAGAATTCAGTCTGCACCCAACAAACGACTAGATATATGACACCAGTCATTTAATGTCCAATCAAAGTATTGGTATCGTATATCTTACTTCAAAAGTCATCTAATCTGTAAGTTGATATAAAGAACAGTAGAATGCAT